CTCCTCAAAAAATGCTGTATTTTCTGAAGATGGATGCTCCTAGACAGATTTTTTTGTGTTTGCAATGCCAGTTAGTTTTCTTAGTCTAGAGACTGTGGTTTATAATATTTAATACCTATAGCCATAGCCAATGTTATGCACATATTCTGTTCCAAGTTAACTGCCCTGTAATATGCCTAATGAACTATTTACATATGGCTGTGTTCACGTTAAGTGTTCAGAATGTCTAGAAAATGCAAAACATTGATTATAGTTGAATTAGCTGAAATTATTTGCTTTTCAAGGTTGTGTCTATACAATGTCAAATTCAATTCAATCAATTCGGATGGGGGAGGGAACAATCAGTTCAATGGCTATGAACACTACCCATCACATAATAAGTAGGTGAAGTAAAGCACTTAGCACAGTTCCCAACACATAATAAACAGTTAATAAGGTTAGATAATTTATCTTTTTTGTTATTGATGTTAATCATTCAAACAAAATCCTTATGTGTTCTTCACTTAATTTTGATTCTCATATACATCGCCTTCTTTTGGGTTTCAAAAGCATTTGGAACTATTTCATATCCAAGATGTTGACTCTGAAATCTGCCTTGGAACACAACTTCCTATTCTTTAACCCTTCCTATTTTCATAGGAAGTCACTTTCTATCCTTCATTGGTGGTTACAATTCCTTTTTAAATCCATATTCTCACATTAATCACGCCCTTCAGGAATTTTTTTTTTCCTCTTCCCAACTCCTCTCCAATCTTCTGCCATGTCAATGAAAACCAGTTAGCATCCTTGGTTCTCTGTCCTTGCTTTCTGCAATTCTCAATTCTCTTTTTGTAAATCTCAGTGCCTGGGTGAAATTATCCTTCACTTCATTCACTTCTGCTACTAAGACCCAGAGAACCACTGGTAAAGTAATAAGATGAGGCCAATTGGTTATACAAGTCCATGTTATTGATTCTCCCCTTAGTTCACAAACTGCCAACAATTCTCTTATCTATGTTTATTTATTTGCCTGTCTTACTTTGAACCGGTTCTTTCCCAAAGGTTTTGGACTCTTTGAAAGAACCTGGGGATCAAGGCAATACATGAAATCTAAACTCTCTCAGTCGTGAAATCTAAATTATTTCAAACCATAGCTCAAAGTTAGGTATCTTCCTCATGGCCTCCTCCTTCCTCTTGTCTCCCAGGAAAGAATATCTCCTTTCCTTTCCTCTCACTTTTGCTAGCACTTATGCTTGCCCCCTCAGCAGGCTCTCTCCTGACTACTCTTTAAGACACTTGCTCATTGCCCATAACATTTATGTTTTATGCCTTTCATTTCTAGATTGTCCCCTTGAGCTTACAAACCTGCTCAGTTAAGTTCTACCCTAAACCTAAATACATTTTCACTCCATCTTACTACTCTTTCAAACTAGGGACATATATTTTCTACTCCCTTCACTGGTAACCTTACTGAACAGATACTTTCTGCGTACTCCCTCAACTCTGTTTGACCTTCTAACTAGAAGATAGATCCTACTCCCACGTCTATAATAACTTCTTTCTGAAAGGTCTCTATTGATTCTAAACTCCAATAGCCTTTCCTTAACTTCTTCATCTGAAAGCATATATAACATAATGCGTTAGCCTTCCTGCTTGAAATTCTTTTCACCTCTAGCTCCCCTGCATTGTCCTATAGAGGTTTTTCCTTCATTAATTTGACTGTTCCTTTTATGATTCTTACTGATAACCCCTTCCTCTTCCTTTACCTTGCTAGGGGCTATCAGACCTTGGTCAAGCTCCTAATTTTACATGTCTCACATGAGTACAATATATCGCTATAATATTATTTTGTGGATACATGCATTTAATAACTTCTCTTGTCAAAAATGTAATCCTCCCCAGGGTTTCTCAGGAGCACTTTTCTTTTTCTATGCTCTTTATCTGGGTAATATCATTCATCACATGCCTGTAACTGTCACTTCTATGAGGGTGACTCCTAATCTGCGTTTTCTTACTCCTTCTCTCTGTATCAGTTGTGATTTTGTAATTACTCACTAGATTTTTCCTTCAAAAAAATCCTCTGACTCTGCTCAGTATGTGTAACATAGAAATTGGAATTTTCTACCCATCTGCTTCGCTTTCAGTGTCTTCTATTTCCTTCCAGTCTCTTAATATAAAATGACAAAACCACCTTTCAACTTCTTTTTTGTACCTTCTTCAATCATTTCCCAAATACTTTGTCCTTTTTTTGCTAAAGTATTTTTGACTCTTATCTATGTTATGATAGTCACTATCCAGTGTTATTCCTCTATGTCTAACCAATTGCTAATGGATCCTCTTAGCATCTAAGAGAATCTGGATGCCTCTAGATAATTTTTCTTCCAAAATTTACTGTGCAAATTATAGCGAGATTAATTTCTCTTCTAAAAATGTTAACCAGGTGTTCAAAAATCTATGTTAAGGAAAAAATTCCAGCTTCTTATCCTGGCATCAGTGACCTGGCACCACCCATGAGCTCCTCTCATCTCCTTTTAATTATTTCCCTGTGTGTGAAGTGTTTAGCTGTTACTAGTAAATGCTTTTCATTTTTGCACTTTGGTACATTTGCTCACATCCATTATCCACCTCAATTATCCTTTGCAATCTCCCCTTATATGTTCAAACATGCTTTACCTTAGGCAAATACAAATGTTCTGTATTCCACACAGCCTGGCTTTAACACAACCATCCCCACTTGCCCACCAATCTGGATATATTCTTCCCATTCTACCTTCTTCTATAGCCCTCTTATCTCTGTCTTTCTCAAGGCATTTGTCACTTCTTATTTTATGTAGTATTATATTCATTTCTCTAAACATTTTACCACTTCTATAAGAATAGCAAATATATTGGTTTAATAGTATTAGGCTATTAATAGATACTTATTGAATAAATAACATAAACAAATGAGCAATGTATTTCCATGGAACAATCTATTTGAAAGTTAAAATTATCTTCATCTTTTTTTCTGAAATTCCATAAAAGTTATTTGCTCACATCTGCTAAATTGATGAGTAAAAAAGATGCTTTCATTAATTCCAAGATTTTTAAAGTCTCTGTCATCTAATAGAGGCTTTAGGGTTG